CCTATTTGTCGCGCCGTCATGGTTCACCACGTAGCACAGGTGTTAGTGTTGGAAAGCAGCCTGGTTAACCCCCCAACGCTTGTCTTCCTGCGAGCGCGACTTCCCCGCTGCTGTCGCGGTGGTTTTATCTTCGCTCGATTCAGCCGCTTACAAAAATGGCGCTTCAGGTGCGTTACACAAAGTTTAATAGCCACACAAGCCACTTCTTTTGCGATACCGTCAAGAAATTGGAATGGAAACTGCTTTGGACCTCAGAGGGGTTGGGCTGGAGGGGCCATACTGGCTTCAAGATGGAGGTGAAGAAGGACATGCCACTTTAAGCCGCTTTGGAATGCCCCGGTCAATCTTTGGGCACCTCTTGATATTTTCATGCATATTTGACTGCTCTTGCACCTTTGCATTGACCTTGCACAAAAAATGTCAGCCCACTTGCTTCACCCTAACCTGATCGCCCAATGCCCGTTGCACCGCAGGCCCGTCTCCTGACTCGAAGCCTTCGAGGTTTCGGCAATGGTCGCCTTCCTTTCACATCGCCCCGATGCAACCCACGAGTCTGGCACCATGCATCCCTCTCGTCGTTCACTCGAGGGGGTCCTCCAAGCCCTCATCCCCTCGGAGTCCTTTCAACCCGTCTCCCCCGGGTGCGACATCCACAGCGCTCGCTGTCCTCTCCTGCCCCTACATCCGAAGACCCTCCTTTTAAAAAACTCATGGCAGCCAACCGAGGGGAAATCGCGACCCGCATAATGCGAGCCACCACTGAGTTGGGGATCGCCTCGGTCGGAATCTTTTCCAAGGAGGATCGCTTCACCCAGCACCGCTACAAAGCCGACCAGGCCTTTCTGGTCGGCGCTGACAAGTCCCCCGTGGGCGCCTACTTAGACATCGATTCCATCATCCAGACTGCCAAACGCAACGGCGTCGATGCCATCCACCCGGGGTATGGCCTGCTCTCGGAAAACCCGAATTTCGCCCGAGCTTGCGCCGAGAATGGGATCGTCTTTGTGGGCCCTACCGTCGAGCAACTCATCACATTCGGCGACAAGACAAAGGCGCGCGAGCTGGCCATCAAAGCAGGTGTTCCTGTGGTGCCCGGGACGGACGGGCCGGTCTCGACGTACGAGGAGGCTCGCTCCTTCATTGAGGGGATGGACGTAGGCTACCCGGTCATCATCAAGGCAGCCCACGGTGGCGGAGGGCGGGGCATGCGCGTGGTCCGGTCCGCGGAGGAGCTCGAGGAAAATTTCAAACGCGCCTCCTCCGAAGCCTTGAGCGCTTTCGGAAACGGGGAGGTGTTCATTGAGCACTACGTGGACCAGCCCCGACACATTGAGGTCCAGATCTTGGGGGACGGGAGAGGGAACGTCGTCCATCTCTACGACCGGGACTGCTCCGTGCAGCGCCGGCACCAGAAGGTGGTGGAGATGGCCCCCGCGGAGGGCCTGCCTGAGGCCACGCGCCAGGCGCTCTTCCAAGACTCGTTGCGGCTGACGGGGGCTGCCAAGTACCTGTGCGCAGGCACGGTCGAGTTTTTGGTCGACAAGCAGGGGAGGCATTTCTTCATCGAGGTGAATCCGCGGGTGCAGGTGGAGCACACGGTCACGGAGGAGGTGACGGGCATCGACGTTGTCCAGTCTCAAATCCGTTTGGCCGCGGGGGCCAGCCTGGAGGAGCTAGGTTTGGCTCAGGAGAAGATCAAGACCTACGGGTATGCCATGCAATGCCGGGTCACCACCGAGGACCCGAGCCGGGACTTCCAGCCTGATTCGGGGCACATTGAGGTCTTTCGAGCGCCCGGGGGGATGGGCATTCGGATTGACGACGGCCCGGGCTTTGTCGGCGCGAACATCACGCCGTACTACGATTCCTTGCTGATCAAGATCACGAGCAAGGCACGCCGGGAGGGCGGAAGGAATGGGGCGGGGGGCCGGAAGGGGAAGTGGCCGTTTCTTTCCCCTTTCACTCCCCCGTCGTTTAGTCTCACTCCTCCCTCTTTCCTTCACCGACACACAGGCGGCCAACCGCCACGACGCCATCATGAAGCTTCAGCGTGCGCTCAAGGAATTCCGGGTGCGCGGTGTCCACACCAACAAGTCATTTGTCCTCAACCTGCTTTCCCATCCAGACTTTATCCACGGCCAAGTCGATACCGGCTTCATCGCCCGTAATCCTGCTCTCCTGCAACCCGTGTGGTCCTCGAACCGCGGACAAAAGCTTTTGAAGTTCATCGGCAACGTCATCGTCAATGGGCCAGAGCCCTCCCTGGGAGCCACGGGTCCGCCTTGTTCCCCCATCGACCCCATAGTTCCCACCCTTTCTCCGCTCCCGCCCCGGAAAGAGAAAAGCCTTCGGCAGATCTACCTGGAACGGGGACCGAAAGGATTCGCGCAGGCGGTGAGAAAGCACAAAGGTACCCTCATCACCGACACTACATGGCGGGACGCCCATCAATCCCTCTTGGCCACCCGCGTGCGCACCCGCGACCTCCTTCGCATTGCCGAGGCGACCGGCATTGCCCTGGCCCCTGCATATTCCCTGGAAAATTGGGGTGGTGCGACCTTTGACGTGTCCATGAGATTTTTGCGCGAAGACCCCTGGGACCGACTTGGGGCCATGCGGGAGGCGGTGCCTGACATCCCTTTCCAAATGCTGCTCCGGGGCGCGAACGCCGTCGGGTACACCTCCTACCCCGACAATGTGGTTTTTAAATTCTGCGAGCTGGCTCAAAAGCATGGGATGGACGTGTTCCGAGTCTTCGATTCCCTGAATTATTTGGAGAACATGCGACTGGGCATTGACGCCGTGGGCGCCGCGGGCGGGATCGTGGAAGCGGCGATCTGCTACACGGGGGACATCACAGACCCGCACCGCAAGCCCTACACCCTCGACTACTACCTGGAATTCGCCCGCCAACTGGTGGGACTCGGGGTCCACGTCTTGGCCGTGAAAGATATGGCGGGGCTGTTGAGGCCGGAGGCGGCCTCCTTGTTGGTTGGCAGCCTGCGGAAGGAGTTCCCGGACGTTCCCTTGCACTTGCACACGCATGACTCGGCCGGGACCGGGGTGGCGTCCATGATTGCCGGCGCCAAGGCGGGCGCGGACGCCGTGGACGCGGCGATGGACGCACTCTCCGGGACCACCAGCCAGCCCTCCCTCGGCGCCATTGTGGGTGCCCTGCGGCATACCCCCTACGACACAGGCATGGACATGAAAGCGATCAACGCCGTGAATGAGTACTGGGAGGAGTGTCGGGGACTGTACGCACCCTTCGAGTCGGGGCAGAAAAGCGGGAGTTCGGACGTGTACGACCACGAGATGCCAGGTGGGCAGCTGACGAACCTGATGTTCCAGAGCACGCAATTGGGCCTGGCAGGGCAGTGGGGGCAAATCAAGAAGGCCTACGCCGCAGCCAATCGCCTGCTGGGGGACATCATTAAGGTGAGGGCACATGCCATGCAAATCCTGGCCTTCCTCCCCCACTCACGCACGCTCTGGTCGACATTATCAATCACCTTTTCCGTCGATTCAGGTCACTCCTTCCAGCAAGGTGGTGGGGGATCTGGCCCAATTTATGGTGCAAAACAAGCTCACAGAGGAAGACGTTCGCAAGCGCGCCGAGGAGCTCTCCTTCCCGTCCTCTGTCATTGAATATTTCCAAGGCTATCTAGGCATTCCCCCCTTCGGTTTCCCCGAGCCGCTTCGAACCCATGTCCTGAAAGGGAGAACCTTGCCCAACGGCAAAGCCTGTTTCGAGGGCCGTCCTGGGGCGGAGTTGCCGCCGTTTGCATTCGAGGACGAGAAGCAGGGCTTGTTGGATCTGTATGGGAAACACATCCGGGACGTGGATGTGATGACGCACGCCCAGTACCCGCAGGTGAGGCTGACAAGAAGGTCGAATCAGTACATTACGAGAAGGAGGTACTCACATCGACGCCCTGGTTGTTTTTTGCAATACTCTTTCCAATGCCGACTCTTTCCAGGTGTTTAGTAAATATCAGAGCTTTTTCAAGGAGTACGATGATGTCTCTGTGCTGGACACGCGCACATTTTTGCAAGGGATGAAGTTGGGTGCCGAGGTGTCTGTGGAGCTCGAGCATGGGAAGACTTTGTTTGTCAAATTAAACAGCGTCGGGCAGGTGGATGCGACGGGGCACCGGGACGTGATCTTCGAATTGAATGGCCAGCAGCGTGTGATCAAGACTAAGGACACCAAGGCCAACGTGAACGTGAAGGTGCGGCCGAAGGCAGACCTGGGAAAACCCGGCTCTGTCGGAGCCCCGATGCCCGGTTTGGTGGTCGAGGTGAAGGTGAAAGTCGGGCAAGCCGTAAAGAAAGGGCAGCCACTCTTGGTCCTGAGCGCGATGAAGATGGAAACAGGTAGGGAAGTTTGCGCCGAGTAAGGGAGGGAAAATGGCGAGGAGGAGAGCAAGGAATAAGCGGCCAAATAGGAGGGGTTTGAAAATAGCTCTCTCATGACAGGATCTCAGCTCACCTTCCGGATGTTCTTTCTCGGTTTTCTATCCATGCATTCAGTGCTCACCTCCCCCGCGGCTGGGACTGTCAAGACGCTGCTGGTGGGAGCAGGCGACAATATTGCGGGCGGGGACCTGGTCGTGGAGATAGAGTGAATGCGGAGGGGCGAAAAGCCATTGAGATACATGCCCAGTAAAGGGAAAGGAGCAGTCTGGGGCTAGAGGGTACTCTGCGGGAGCGTCGATCTCTGTGAACATGGATGTAGTCAGGACTTCCAAGGCCGGAGAGGCATACGTCGTTGATGCTGGAATAGGGAATGAGGACTGAGAGGGGTATCTTTGAATTTCGTTCACACACGGGAAGACAAAAAAGAAGGAGAAAGCAGGAGCAGGGGAAGATGTTTTCGTCGACTTTTACGTCTGCGTGCCCAGTTACCGGATGATGATAGAGTGACGGGGATTTAAGGGAAAAACGAGAAATAATAAGGCATAGTGTCATAGATGAAAAACGACCCGAGTCTGAAAAGCTTCTTCTGCCCTCATGCGTCTTCAACTTTCTATTCCTTTTCACCCGTCTTGCTTCAGAATCAAGGGGCAAATGTCTTTTATGTACGCACGATATCATCCTTATTCTATGTCTGATGTCCTCAGGGTGCAGTATTTCACACAAAAAGCCTTTTCCTCCGGGGCATATCTACAGCAGCCAGGAGGCCAACGCTGACGCTACCATGGGCACAAATATGTTATCGTCCCCCCACGGCACTAGCTCGACAGCCGCGCATAATATGCTTATCAAAGCCACTTTGCATGCCACCCCCGCTGTTAATGCCGGGACCAGTCCCCAAAAGTTAAACCAAGCGATCAGAGCGACCGAGACGACGAAACCAGAGAGGGCAAAGGCGCTGCTGCCGGCATAGCTCTTGGTGCTGGAAAACGACCATTTCTGAGCACCCCACCGTCTGCCAACTATATCCGCCATACCATCCCCTGCCGCCATCTGGGCGACAGCAACCAGCCCCACCACGCTCTCCCTCCAAAAAACGACGGTAGCGAGCAACAGAATGACTACGTAGATCAGGGGCCCACGGAGGACTTCGGCAGGGTTTCCACTTCGGGAAATGGCTGCTACAAGCCCACTTGGCTTTCCCATTGCTGATTCTCCTGCTCCTATACCGCTATCGTTTTTCGCGGGGCTTGGCGCTTTCGCCAATCCTGACGCTATCATAGCAACAATCTGAAGCAAAGGTACTCCAGCGGCAAAAAGTCGTGCCGTCCCCTCCGCGGAGAAGAAAGGCCAGCACAACAAAAATAGGGGACCTGAGCCACAATGTATCAGCTTACGTGAATCTTTGGAGTCTATCGCTCCAGAAATGGCAAGACTTGTCCACAGCTTAAGCCACACTGCTGAGGCCATTCCGACAAGGGCGGCACCTCCCAAGTCCTGGGCAGTTGCGGGTGGCAATGCAAGTAGTGGGGTAAGAAAACGTACATTTGAAACTTTTCGAATACTGACGATACCACTGGTGTGTGGGATCGTGAAGAGGGCGGGAGAAGAGGGAGCATAGGAGCGACTTGAGAGCGGCGACAGGCGAGATGGGCGAGGCTGCTGCGCAACAAAAGCCGTCTTCCTTATGCCGGGAAAGGAAAACGGCTTCACAGTATTGCTTGAAACAGAAACAAAGAGGAGGAGTGAATGCATGAAAACAAGTACGGCGTGGGTATTCGCCATCTATACCAGGAGCCTAAGATGAGGCTGGGAGGTAAGTCGAAGCTCAAATCCAGTGCGAGTTGTCTTTGTTCCTCCTGTTGCTTTGAAAATATCCGCGTTCGTGCACTACAGCAATTGTGATGTTTGCCTTTCATATGTGCGAAGTGTGTACAGAAAACGTTGAGATAAGATGGAGCCGAGGCCTGGTGCAAAAGCTTAAAGAATCGTGTGGAGGGGCGAAGATCGATCATTTCCAGCAGACAACTTGGAACGACGTATTTGATCTGTCCTCAGATGCGCGTGATTCTCGTCTACCGCCCCTTCTCACCAGCGTACATTCCTGATCGATTTTTAACATACTTGTATGCTTCTCTGCACTGTACAGGCGTATAAGGGAGGGGCACGCGAGAGGGCAACTTGATGCAGGGGGCGCAGAAGCGGGGGCCTTTAACCTCCCCACCCCCTGGGGGAGCTCTACACCTTCTAGTCAACAAGGCACATTCCTTTCCCTGAAGAACCGCGATGCAGTCATATAGCAAGGCTGAGGACATTTTGGGAGTGGACGTTAACCTCTTGGTATTCAATCCTCCTCTATGGCCTCCATCCCCTCGCTTCTATGTCGGGGGTGTCTCGGCAGCTTACGCCTCTGGTGCACTTCAGTTGTTCGGCTTGACGCACTTGCTCTCCCTTGGGGTCACTCCAGCGGCTCATGTAGCGGCGCATTTTACTGTGGGGCGCACATCTCTATGCCTCCCAGACCTACTGGACGTCGAGGATCAAGACCTCCTGTCTGCGGCGCCGTCTCTACTAGCTTTTCTTTCGGCCACGACATCGTCTGACTCGATCCTGGTGCATTGCCAAGCAGGCCAATCACGATCCATCGCTGCCGTGTTGATGTACTTGATAGTGTGCAAGGGCATGGATCTTGTCGATGCTCACGCCCAGATCGCCCGCTGTCGGCCTCAGGTCTGCGTCAATGCCGGTTTTCTCCGCCAGCTTCTCTTTTTGGAGGACTTTGTGGCGCGCGATATCTTCTACGAAAGTCTAATGCCAAGGCTGATGACGAGGCCCCTAACACATAATAGTCACGGACATGACACTGACGGAATTCTCAACCGCACGGGGTGCGCTACTCAGGAGCAATGCACGTCTTCGGGGCTCCACTCTTGTCAGCTAGCGTCTGAGCATCGCCTGTACATATTAGGAAAACGCATTCAAACGACGTGCCAGCTATCTTCTCTGGACGCTGGCAGCCTCCTGGAGGAAGTGGAAGAGATGCATCGGGCACTTGGAGATCAGGTCAGGCTTTACTTTCGGGGTGCGTGCACGGGAAAGCATCGAGATCCTACAAGCGAGGAGAGGGAGGAAGGAATGGTGCGAAGTGCAGAAAGGGGCAAGACAGGAGGACAAGCGGTGGGCTGGGTAGCCCGGTGCCGTCGTTGTGGGCACGTTTTGTGCACGGAGGAGGAGGAAGTGCGTCACTCTGCTCCCGACGTTAAAGCCTCTCGCGTTTTCGACCGAGTCAAAGCGATCGGGAGAGCCGCCCCGGAAGCTGAGAAATTTCGAGGATACCTGGAAGCATTTGAAAGGCGGCCGCTACTGCATTTGTCCACGGTGCCGTACGCCATATTGAAGCAGCGAAGGAAGAGGGACGGGCGGACCGATCCAAGGAGAGCAGTGAGGGGAGATGGGATCCCAGATATTCAACAGAAGGATGGAAGACGTCCAAGCGCAGAAATCTCGTCTGCTTCGAGGGAAGGCTCCATCAGGCGCGCTGATGACAGAGAGGTCGGCCAGGGTTGTCAGTATGTGTACGCCTATCCTCGTCGATGGTCCTTGGCTTCCTTGCTGGGGGGCGGAACGGCCTCGGGGTCGGCTGTGAAGCCGAAGGACAGAGGCGTCGAAGGAGGCGGCACCGGAGGAGGCTTTGGGGGTTCCGAAGGGATGAGGAGTCTCAGATGTCCCGGCCGGCATTGTGGGGTGATCGTGGGTGCCACGCAGGCGAGGGTTGGGGAGGTAGCTGGCAGTGCAAGGGGGGGGGAGGCTTGCGAGTGTATGGAGGCTCTGCCGATGGTAGTAGTGCGATTTCGAAGGGGTTGTTTGAGGATCGATACGGTAACGGAAGGGAGATCGGCTTGGTCCTCAGTAAGTGGTGTAAACGTTGATGTATAGTAATAATGCATCCATCTTCTGACCACGCTAATCTTGAAAAGGGCGAGATAAAATGAGAGTTAAGAGGCGCTGACGACTGTTTGCACAGCAAAACCCTTTTCAGTCTCACTCCTCAATTTCTTTGGTCTTCACGGTGTGTATTTTCTTCCCGTCTTTCCAGAGCGTAAACCTCACGCCTCTCGTTTCCCATCTGCCATTAGAGGAGTCTCCGTCGATATTATGCACACAAAATGGACAAGGCGGCTCTCTAGTCCTCCTGTTGCCCCCAAACCACCTTTTTTCCTCCAGCTTTCCTTCCTTTCTTGATCCTGGCTTGGCTTTTTCTCCCCCTCAAAATTTGTCAAAGCCCCCACTCGCCCTATTCTTACACTTCGAATGTCTGCAGTCTAGAGTCACCAAGCAGTACTCGCCGCGCCTATCTTTCTTTCTACCAATCCAATGAAGAATCAGAAACCTTCCTGTCTATTGCTTTCCCCTTTCTTCTACCACTCGTTTTTCACGCCTTTCCACAGCCTCACACTTATCGCGGCACTTGTAGTTTCCAAGAATTTCAATCGTGTCTCTCATCCCTTTCCTGGACCTTCTCGACAAGTCTTCCGACCATTCTTTTTCGTACATGCGCCGATAAACTATCTCGTAACATTTTCAAGTTTCCAGTGCTTCCACCCTCTATCTCACATCTTTCCAATCGCACTCCCACGCCCGGCTGCATTTATCTCGCCTTCTGCTTGCTTTCCCCCCAGAAACCACCAAGGTTTCAATGGAAAGAAAGCTTCCCACTTTAAACGAGAATATACTCCGCTTGTTCTACCGCATCGGCCCGTACACGCCACCGCCCACACCTAGACAACAGACATCATGAAAGAGGCTTTACACTACCGAAGCCGAGCTCTCCGGCATCGTTTGCAAGGCCGAGGAGTAAGGGGGGGGCGCACCTTCCTCCCCACCTGCCTCCTCCGCCGTCGGACCCGACCTGCCCGGGTCCTGTCCCGACCGAGGGGAAGTGGACTCCGGCACTGCGACACCCACGTAGTACACTTCCTGGGCCTCCCCCAGGAATGGACCACCCCCCCAAACCCATCCCCCGCTGTTGCACCCGGTGCTATGCAAGGACACGTAGGGCGTCACGGCGACTGGATGGACACCTGCCCCCGCCTCCGTGTCCCACCGGGCCGGCCCCCCTTCTGGGCCGTAAGGAGCCGAGGAAGCGGGGAAAGAGGACGAGGAGGCACAGCAAGCCATGTATAGGCCCCGGATGATCAAAATCACGGACGCAAGCAGGAGAGAGAGGACGACGATGCCTACGACGGGGTTGTTCCCTGCTGTTCCGTCGTCACTGGTCGGGTCCAGGGGCAAGCCGCTTC